TGTGTGTGTGTGTGTGTGTGTGTGTGTGTGTGCGTGCGTGCGTGCGTGCGTGCGTGCGTGCGTGCGTGCGTGCGTGTGTGAATAGAGGATCTGCATGGGAACCTTCCAGCATTGTGCTGGCTGGCTGGTACAGCAGCTGGCAGACACTGAAAAACAAAACTCATCAGACAAAACACATTTATCTCTGATCGTCCCTCGGACACAGGCGGCCCATTTGCAGAGCAACRCACTCATGAAGGGACGTTTAGATTCACAGGTGACTGCAAATTATTCCTGAAGATGTTTAATTTCCTAATTACAGACTTATAAATGAGTAAAACGTCTCATGCTAAACATTGTTTGTTTGAATCGGCGGTGCCCAAAGTCAGTCCTCGAGGGCCRGTGTCCTGCATGTTTTACGAGCKGCTCTGGTTCAACGCAGCTGAACCTAATTAGTRCGTAATTAGTAGGCCTCCTCAGTATGCTATCAAGGTCTGCAGAGGCCTACTAATTAAGCACTCCTCATTTTCAGCCGTGTTGAACCAGGGCAGCACCTAAAACATGCAGGACACCGGTCCTCAAGGACTGACTGCATGGTACAAGATCAGTCAGGGCTCAGACGATGTGATGAGGATGACTCTGAGCTACTATTACACCAAACTGTTGCTCAATGTTTGTAATTTTGATTAAATTACAGTGCTGACTTAAGTCAATTGGTTGTAGCAGCCTTTGTTAGTCATGCTGACTGTAAGTTAATCAGTTGTAGATATCCATCCAGGGATTACTTTCTGACAGTTTCACTAATCTGACCACTGGTGTGTCGTATATTTTTCTAACAGACAGACAAAAAAGAGGCAATATAAATGCAAGTTCAGTCAAACTGAACGTTTGCGTGTGGAGAGCGGGAAATGAGAGAAACTGGGAAGAACATAAAGCAGAAATAAAACAAGGAAACAGAGCATGAAAAGAAAGCATAAAATGAACCAAAAAAAGGCTTAAAACAACAAAAAAAAGGCAAACAGAACTGTTTGTTGCTTTTACTGAAAGTCTTAAATTAAATGTCGTATGTTCAAAATACAGTAAATAATTTGTGTTTTTCTTACAAAAAAACCCAGAAAATTTCTGTGAACACATTTATCTAGTCTGTTTTTTTTTTTCTAGTGTTGTGTTCCCAACTAAAAACAAGTTGAGAAACAGAACAGAGCAGTGACTGAAGCAATCCTGCTGCATCATTTAATTACAAAAGAAGACAAAAAAAGTTGAGGGAAGCTCTGAACCCGACATGAGTTACCCGCTATGGTTAGAGAGCAGGGAGGAAAATGGCAGACGGAGGGAATGAGCTCAAAATGGGAGGCAGTTTAAAACACAATGAGAACAAAGTTGGCTGCAGATCAGATGCTGGGAGAAAAGTTGGACACTTGTGGCCTGAGGGCTTTCTTTAATGTGTCAAGTCTAACCACACCGATTTAAAAGATTTCCTGTTCATATTTCTTACTTATTAAATTCATCTCAACTTTAGAATTTCACCAACACTGATGATTTGAAATTAAAGTAACTTGAAGTGTTTTTTTAAGTCATGCTCGTTGACATGGTCTCACCAAGAAGAAACACATGACGTGAAACCTTGAACAAACTGAGATATAAAAGAATTAAGAACTCCCTGCAGTGAAAGGCTACAAAACGTTCCAGAAAATCTTAATAAAATGACCCTAAGAGAAATTATATCACTACAAAAAATTTTAAATAAATAAAATTTAAAAAAATTCAAAAAATTTAATGTATGCATTTGTATGGGAGGACATTTAGTAAATAAAAAGAAAAAGACCAGCGGTGTGTCAAACCCATTTTCACCATAAAGTCACCATATTATGGTGGCCCTCAAAGGGCCAGCTGTGATAAACGTTGTCGTTTTGTGTTTAACTTCGATTAAAATGTCACGTTCCTCGTCTTGTTGCCATGACTGAGCACCACGAACAAACAAGAATTGATCTCTGTGTGGTATTTTGTACATAGAAACAACATTTTAACAAGTCCTCATAGAACAGTACCAATTACTGACCACATGTGAAATAAACAAAACAGAAATACTATTAAAAGTAAAAGTAAGAAAGTTTACTGTGGCGGTAAGTAACCACAATCTTGAATTACTKTCCCACTTTCCAACAGGGAATTTCCTATGAAGGGAATGTTCCAGTTTAAATTTGCAACTTGTAAGTGGGGAACTCCCACTTCCCAGTACCACTGGGTCACAACTAAAGTAACCAACAAAAATACAGTTAAATGGAGATTTTACACAGCAAATTTCACCTGCTACCAGTTACCGGCTACTTTTGAACCCTGTGCCTCTCCACGTGGTGGTGGGATGCCAATATTTCTTGAGTAAAATATTTGATGTAGTTTGTGGTCAATGCTGGCTTTAAAGCAGCGTACACATATTTT